TTCGTGCTGCGCAAAAAGAAAAATTTTTTTTTTTTTTTTTTTTTTTTTTTTTTTTACTGTCCAAGCCTCCAAGGTCTGGAATAGCCTGCCACCACGGGTGGTTTACGCACCTACGTGGAACACCTTCAAGAGAAATTTGGATGCTTATCTCGCTGGGATCCTATGACCCCAGCTGACTTCCTGCCCCTGGGGCAGGGGGCTGGACTCGATCTTCTGAGGTCCCTTCCAGCCCTAATGTCTATGAAATCTGCTGCTTGCTCCCAGCAGAGTAGGGCAATCCCCAGGCCTGGCAGAGGCCCAGGCTCTGCCCCAGTTTATTCTTCCCCCCCAGCTCCAATTCCAGCACTGCAAACACTCCCCACGCCCAACTCCCAGCCACACTCCCCTGTCCCCAGATACCAGGCAGCAGCCGCCAGTCGAATACACTGGTTTCTGGTTTACTTACATTAAATACATGGGTCAGTCAGCAGTGGGGTGTTACCATGATTGTTATTTCAGGGCGATGGAGGAGCTCTCTCAAAAAGCAAAAAGAACCAAAAGAAAACAAAACAAAACAAAAAACAAAACAAAAAAAACATCAAAACTGATCAAAGGAAAGAGCCAGGAAGGGGGGGAAAAAAGCCTTCAAGCTGCAGTGTCCCAATTTGGTCCAGGCTTTGAGCCAGAAAGAGACCAGCCTGTAAGGGAGGGTGGGGGCCCGATTCTGCTGTGCCCCCAGTGCCAACACTGCCTGGGAAGCAGAGGAGGGTGTAGACGGTATTCCCCACCCCAGTGAGGGGGGTGGATGCAGGGGGGCTAGAGGCAGAGGCCAGCGGTGGGTCACTGCAGCAAGAACAGGGTTGAGAGGCCCGGTGGGACCAGGGTCCTGCCCGGGAAAGGTTGGCAGAGGCACGTGCAAGCCACGTGGGCTCAGCAGCAGTGTGGACAGCCAGCAGAGGTGAGGGCAAAATGCCTGCAGACACCCACAGCCCAGCACTGTGGGCAGCGGAGACGGGGCTTGTGACCCAAAGCCTCTGCCGAGAGGTGCTGTGTAACTGAGGCTGTGATGCCCGTAACAGCTATGCGTGAGGACTTGGGGAGAAGGGATGCTCACCCCACACTGTGGCAGCGCCCCCCTGTTGTGCTGGTGCCAGGAGCCTGTGGGGGTGGAGCTCGCCAGGGCCTCCAGGCCACCCCCATCCCCTGCCAGGGGCCTGGAAAAAAGCATCCCCAGCCCAAGTTTCTTCCCGCATGGAGCAGGATTCCCAGTCTGGCCCTTCCCAGGCCCCTGGGTTCCCCACCCTTGCCAGGCCAGTTCCCCGCACCCCAGCTCTGCTCAGCAAGGCGTGAGGCTCCCCTGTCTCCACCTACTTAGGCTTGGTTCATTCCCCCGCCCTGCTCCCACCCTCACCCTAACCCTGCCCCAGGGCAACATAGGCCCCAGCTGCCCCTGCCGCCACATGGGACTGAAGGTGCCTGGCCCCTCTGCCCCATGGAGCACAAAGCCTTTGAGAAGATCCTCCAAAGAAGGCGGTGGAAGTTGGGCAACGGCCCCTTCCCCACGAACACCCGCGCGCATGACCTGACCGTGACCCAAGGTGCAGCCCGTGTGGACGTCTGTGACTAAAGTGCAAGTGGAAAGGGCCCTGGGCAACTGTGGAGGCCAGAGGGAGAGAGCAAGGGAGGGGTCACCCCCAGTAACACCCCCACCTCAAAACACCCATGCCCAGGTGGGTCTGCCAGACAGCACTGGGCCCCAGCAGAGACACGAGGCACGTGGGCCTGGCCTAGGCGAGGCCGGGTTACAGGGAAGGGGAAAAGCAACAGAACTGCCTGGTTGTGGAAGTGCATTTGGGGGTTCTAGGCATGCACAGGGTGATGGGGGAGGGGGTCCTAGGCCCCAGGCTAGCAGGGGCCAGATGTTCATCACCCCCATTCCCCCAAAATCACTTCCAACCCTTGACAGAAAAAATAAAAATAAAAGAGGCCACCTGGGTAAAAATTAAGGACACTGCAGCTTCCCCCCTGCACATGGGAACAGGAGAGGAATTAAAACAATGGATCCATGAAAGAAGGGGGAAAGAAAAAAAAAGGAGACACCCCCTGAAGCTGCGCCACCAGGAGCAATCCAGCTGCCCGCAGGGTCCCCGCTGCCCCTTTCACTCAGCTCCTGCCCCGTGTGGGAAAGGGGAGGGCAAGAGAGATGTTAGCAGACCAAGGACACGCGTTACCGGGAGAGGGGTTGGGGCGGGGGACGAGCAGCTGCGGGAGCGAGTGGCGCCTATAATACAAAGTGGAGAAAAGTTTGTGTTGGGAAGCTGCTGTCCCCAGCGGGCAGGCAGTTGGTTGCATCCCGCAGGTGGCGGTGGCGGGCGCCTGGCGGTGTCAAAGCAGTAAAAAGTGCCGTTAGCGGGAGCTGCCGGAGGGCAGGCGCCAGGGGGCGGGGGCAGGGGGAGGTTACATCGTCGCTCTTCCTCGTGCGCCGGCCACTCGCACCCCTTCAGTTGCTACAACACTGGCTCTTGTTCTGCTGGCTCTGCTCGTGGAGGTCCACGCCCCGGGGCCGCCCTGCCGCACCGCTCGTGCTCTGGGGCTCACTCTTTGGCAGCTTCTTTGCTGCAGGGAGGAGACAGCAAGAGAGATCGAGTGTGAGGGGAGAGGAGGAACAGAGCTGCCCCTGCCTGACATCTCCCAGCCCCAGGCCACCCTTCTCTGGGTTCAGGAGCTTGGCCTGCTTGCCACTGTTGCCCCAGCCCACAAGCCCAAGCGGGGGGCCCAGTGGCCCCAGGGCTAGGTAGTGCCAATGCTCCATCCCAGACCTCAGAAGTGCTAAGCAGCCAGGCACCAAGGAGCCTCTAGCAGGTGCCAAGTGCTGCACTGCTAGACAGACCCAGCTGAGCAGACAGCAGCCTCCCCTCTGATCTCCCTTCCAGATCCTCCTGACCAAGCACCACTGCCAATAGCATTCTGGTCTCCACTAACCCCAGGGCCTTGCAGCACTGTCTGGAGTGCAAGGGGAGACTCGATAGGTCAATCAAGTGCTCCAGCAGCAGGACAAGGGGCTCTCCCCTGACTGCAGCCTCCACTCCGGGACTGTGGGACCAGGCAGCTCCACAATCCGACTGCCCACGCCTCTGCCAGGGTCTCACCTATTGCCAGGAAGAGGTCGTTAACATTCATAGCCGTCTTGGCCGAGGTTTCCATGAACAACAGACTGTTGTCATCTGCATAAGCCTGTGCCTCCTGGAAGAGATGGAGGTGCCAGAGTGAGCCCTGCATATAGCTGCAGAGCAGGTCCTTCCTAGAGGACAGGGTCACATGTGTGGGGGTTGCACCCCCCCCAGGCATCCAATGACTTCTTGTCCTGGTCCTTGGTCTCTTGGACCCAGCTGGAGGCCTGTGGGTCAGGAGACCCCAGGGAGCTGAGGGAGGGGGTCAAGAGGCATGGCAGCCCTGACTTTGGCTCCTCACCTCATATTCCACCATGCGCTTGTTGGCGAGATCAGCCTTGTTGCCTGCCAGGGCAATCACGATGTTGGGGCTGGCTTGCCGCTGTAGCTCCTTCACCCATGTCTTTGCTCGTGCAAACGTCTCCTGGAGGGGGAGGGACAAGGCATCAGATCTTGGCCTGGATGGCAGCAGCAAGTGGCTCCCAGCCACCCACACCTGGCAAGGGGCATGGAGCCGCAGGGCCCCTCTGCAGCACTGTATGGAGGCCTCCATCTACATGGCGGACAAAGGCTGCCCCTGTGGCCCAGACTTCAGCCCCCTGCATTCTACCAGTATGTGGTCCCTGAGACAAACACGCCACACTTGAGAGGGCTGCAAAGTCTTACCCACTTCCTACCAGGGAGCAGAGGCAGGGAGCCCTGCGGAGTGCCCGGAAGAGCTGGCCACCAGCCCCTCCTTAAGAGATAGCCATGAGGAAAGGCAGACAGATATGGGACTGTTGAGCCTAGAAAATAAGACTACTTTGGGGGGAGGGGGGGGCAAGATTTGGTGGCAGCTGACAAATATCTGGGGTGAGTATCAAGGACTAGGCAAACAACTATTCACCAAAGCGCCCCAGGGCAAAGCCAGGAGCAATGGTCATAAACTCCTAGAAGGAGTCAGATTGGATCCACCAAAAAAAAAAAAAAAAAAAAAAAAAAAAAAAAACACACAAAGAACAAAAACACCCCCCAAAAACACAAAAAACCCAAAACACTTCTTTATGGTTTGTGTGACCAGACCCTGCAATAGGCTCCCAGCAGGGGTGCTGCAGGCACCTATCCCGGAGATTTTCAAAAGGAGACTGGACACACACCTTGCTGGTTATTTGCAGTCTTTCCTGCCTAAAGCAGGGGGGCCAGACCCAATGATCTCACAAGGTCCCTTCCAGCCCTAAACTTCTGAGAATCTTTGAGCAAGGTGTGAAGCAGGCCTACCTGGTTGGTAATGTCGTAGACCACGATGGCTGCCTGGGCACCCCGGTAGTACATGGGGGCCAGGCTGTGGTACCGCTCTTGGCCGGCCGTGTCCCAGATCTCGAACTTAACCGTTGTGTCATCCAGGCAGACAGACTGTGTGAGAAACGCCGCTGGCAAAGGCAAGTGGGGAGAGGAGTCAGCAGGCTAGGCCCTGCCCCTTGGGTGGTGAGGGGAGAGCACCCCCCAAGGTCTCATCAGGCCCTGGGAGATTGAGGCCCTACACTGTGCCCTGCCCCCAGTTAGGTCATTCCAAGTCGAAGCCTCAGCCTCCCCCAGCTCTTCCTGGGAGGAACCAGATCCGGATGTTTAATCCCCCCCTTCCCGACAATGCTCCACCCGCATGACAACACGACCCACTGCAGCTGCGAGCACCCCCTCAAGCAGCAGCAAGCAGCCCCAGCAGCTGAGCTGCCTCCCTGCTGCTCACTGCAGGCTGGGAGCCCGGGCTCTCTACAGCCACGTGGGCAGGACGCCTGGACTGGAGCGAAGGCAAGCAGCGACTCACCCCCGATGGTGCTCTCCTGGTACTCGTGGAACTGCCCCTTGACGAAGCGCAGCACCAGGCTGGACTTGCCCACAGCCGACTCGCCCAGTAGCACCAGCTTAAACTGACAGATCTTGCTGGCTTGTGACTGACCGTTGGGCCTGGCGGCACCTCTGCTGGTCATGGCCTGGCCTGTGGTAGCGCCTGGGGCCCAGCTGCTCGGAGACCTCGGCAGCGCACACCAGCTCTTGTGGGGGGGTGGGGGCTCAGCTGCGAGCACGACAGGGCCGGGGTGGCTCAGCAGGCCTGCATGAGGTCAGAGGACACTGTCCAGGGCTGGGCTATAGCAGGGGGAGGTTTGGTACTTCACAGGCTTCAAAGGGATTATCTCTTTCTGCAGACCAGCCAGCCGGGACAGAGTTAGGGCCCCACCACATACCAGAGGCTGGCCCTGGAACCCTCCCACCAGCCACAGCAGCCCGTTACGCCTGTGTGAGAGCAGACAACTTAGATCTGCCCCCCACCCCAACTTAAGGAGCAGAGCAGCCAGCAAAAAGGAGCAGGCTCCAGGCGCTCGCTGTGAGCGCCGGAGTGAGTCAGCAATCCTGGCAGCTCTCCTTCCCAGACAAGCCGGGATCCGAACGCGCCTGGGACCACGCGGGGCTGAGGTCAGGGCAGCACCTCTGGCCTGCTCCGCACAGGGGAGGGGGCACAGCTCCCTGCACAGCAAGCGGCACAGGCCTGGCAGTCTGTCTGTTCATGTGTGTGGACTGACATGTGCCCCGGGCTCTGCCCCCACCCCCGGCTTGGGGCTACCCTGGCAATCTGCAGGGAACCCCTGGGGAAGGGTGGGGGAGGCAGGGTCCTCAACTGTTCTGCACTCCTTAGGTCCTGGAGAGCGTGCTGCAGATGCTGGCAGGCAGGTTACTTGGCCTGTCCTTCCTGGTGCTACCTCCAAAAGGCAGACAGGGCACCCCCCACCCCAGTACATGGGACTGGTCCCTTCTGCCCCTCTGCAGGGGCTTTGTCTGCCTTGGCGCACCAGGGAAGCATTCACGAGCCAGGGGGCTCTGCTGCCAGCCCGAGCTGGATGGGCAGAAGCAAGTTAACTTGCACTAGCCATGGGAATGTAGTAGCATTGCCCAAGGCCACTGGGGTACCAGAGCCAGAGCCTTCACTGGGCCCTTGAGCAGAGGCCAGCGCTAGTACCAGGGAGGCTAAGGCCCCAGCTGCTGATGCAGACAGAGCTGGGACAGCCACGTGGGAACCCTAACAGGGTGGAGGGGATCTGGGGGACAACTGCAATGCCAAGGACGGGTGAGGGGGTACACAGCCGGCCATGCACCGACGTGGCTGGGAGCTGGCTCCAGGCACCTCCACGGCATGCTGCAGTGGCAGAAGGGCCCGTTTGGCATGGGCTGGTGCTAGTAGAGCCCCTTGGAGAAAACCCCTTGGCAGCTGCATCTGACCTAACAGACCCTCAGCCAGGAAGGACAGGAGCACCAAGCCGACCCGTTAGCTCATGGATTAACGAGCAAGATGAGGTATGTTTCCTGCCCCATCTCCCGGTCTGTGGGGCCACAGGGCACCCTCTCAGGGCTGCTTCCTGCCCCCACAACCAGCACCAGCAGCCTCTGACCCAGGCAGGCCGGGCTTGGATCCAGACCCAAGGGCCAAAACACCCTCAGGAAATAATGATTTCCTGCCTCCTCCGAGACCCCCCCACCTCCATATACTCCCAAGGTCCCAAGTGGGGAAGAGGCCTCTGACCAGGTGCCCAACGCTGCTGACCGCTCAAATCTCCATTCTGCATGCCCTGCTTGAGGGCTCCCACTGCCAGCCTGCCTTCCAGCAGCCTTCTGGCCTGTTGTCAGGCCCCTGTTCCCCTTCCCCATCTGCTTCCCAGAGCGAGCAGAGCTCAGGCCAAAGCAAGCGGGACACTGCAAGCAGCAAGCAGGCAAGTGCTGGAGCCAGCCGTACCCAGCCCATCAGCAAAACCATAAGCCGCCACACTGCTTCCAAAGCAGGAAGGCAATGGAAACCCAGAGCCAGGGCTCTGGAAGCCACCCGAGCACGATGTCCAGGTCCCTAGTGCCGAGCCGGGCCGCAGCGGGGAAGAGCGCTTCCTTCCTGCTCGCGGCCCTTCCCGAAAGGAGCAGTTACGCAAGGGCCGCATTCCCGGGGCCAAAAAGCTCAACTTTGCTGCTGCATCGGCTACAGAGTACGGCTCTGGTCAGCTCCAAATGGGGCCAGAGGGAAGCAGCAGACAGGGAGGGCAGCTCCCAGGACCATGAATTTGGCAGACCCAATCTCTGGGATCTAGGCCCCTACACACTACTGGAGGACCCCCACGTTCATTCTCCTGTTACCCGGCCAGGGCTGGAGAGGGGCAGAGCCAGGCTGTTCAGCAAGGCCCAGCAGGCTGAAGCTGAACATAGCAACGTGAATGTCTGAGGTCACCGAGGCAGGTGTGGGTTGAAAAGCATCCTGAAGATGTAACTGGGCTTTGCTTGTAGGCCGCCAAGGGGCCCAGTCTCCCAAGTGGTGAAGGTGGGTAGGCCACATACACCAACCAGCTCACCACCCTGCTGCGAAGACTCACTCTGTCCTCATCTCCCACCTCCCAACTCCTGCATCCGCATCCCCTCCTAAGGGGAGCCAAGGCAGAGGCTTGCGGCTAGTTTTCAAGAGCCCCCCCCAATCCCGGCAAGGATGCTTGTCATGGGGAGAGCAAGACAGCCCTGGAGCACGAGCTGACTCTAGAGCTCAGTGCCTCCCCAATTCATTACAGCAGGCAGTGAAGCACCACGGGCCCATCCCGGAAACGAGGTCCTGCCCCACAATGGCCTCAGCCCCTCCATCTGCAAGCTCCCTGGTACCAGGCTGCTCGGCTCTCCCAGCACTGAGCAGCATCCTGGGGTGGCCCCTAGGCACAACCGCACCTAATGAGAAGCTAGGAAGGATCCAGGATCCCAGCCGGGACAAGCACATGCCGTCCCCATGCTGCTCACACCTGCTAAATCCAGGGTGTCCAGCACTGGGATCTGATGGGCTAACACCCACCAATCAGCAGCAAGCAGCTTCAAGGAGCCCAGGTCCATCCAGCTTCCTTCGCTCACCCCAGGTCTCCCTGCTGGCTAGGGAACCAATTCCTAGTAGGTCAAAGCTCACTCTGCCAGCCCCCAGCTGCAGCCCAGACCTCCGAAAGGACCCGCTTCTGGGTGCAACGCAGCTGCTGTGAACTGAGCCACCGCTACTACGAACGCACCTGACCAGCCAGGTCTGATGAGCAAAATCAGGAGCCACCAGGCAACGAGAAGTGTGGCCAACTGCACCTCCTCCCCTACCATCCACCCCCTTCTGTTCCACAAGGGGCTGCGGGAGCGCTAAGGCAGCGCCGGCCCAGCAGCCAAGCGGGGGTCGAGGTCATTCCTGGAGCCAGGCTCTCGCACACCTGGCCTCTGTGGGCGAGGAGAGACCGTGTCCCTTGCTTCCACCCAGAGCGAGTTAAACCTGTGTGGGCTGAGGCAGCAGATCCCCACAGCAAGGGAACTCCTAGCACAATGGAAGGCAGGTGCAGGGCTGGCTAGACTCCCCCACCCCCAACGCCCCTGGCTCTGGGAGGCTGCAGCAGGCCCGTCTAAGCTGTGCTGGCAGAGAAGGGGCATCTCCCGAGAGAGCCCGAGGTGGGTTGCAACAGCCTGCCTGGGTTAACTGCTTTCCTGTTGCCAGCGAGACTTTTCCTCTGTCCCAATCGCCTGCGGCACCAACAGCCACCACCAGAACAGTGCACAGGGCTCCGGCCTGCCTGGGGCTCCCAACATCGCCACCAGCCAGCGAGCAAGCGCCTAAACACCCCAAACCGCGGGTATGGGTGCAGCTACTTGCATGGCCCTTCCAATGCCCAAGCCACTAGCGTCCATGGGCATTCTTTGAGCGAAGGTCACCACGAGATGATCTACTGAGGTCCCTTCCGACCCTAACATCTATGAATCTGAGAGCAGGGAAGCTGGGGCCTCAGCTGGATCCGGGCGATATCCTGCAACGGGACAAGAGAAGCGGGGCTCTTCGCTCTGGGAGATGGGCCCCGGTCCCACCCCCAAGTCCCTGGTGAATCTACGCAGGTTCCCCAGATATGTGCTTGGCTTCCTCCCCTCTTAACAGAGTAGTAGGAAGGCCCCGAGGCCCCACCCCAGCCTCAGCGGGGGCCAGGCTCATCTTCATTAGCTTCCAGGTACTGTCCTAGCAGCAGCCCCCATGGCAGCTGCTGCTCACACTCAAGCCCTGCGGCGCTCCCCCCCTCACCAGCCTCCCCCAGCCCCAGCAGCCCAGCCGCTGCCCACAGGTTGCTTAACACCACATGAAGGAGTCACCATGGCCAGGTAGCAACTCTCCTGCTTCACCCACACATCGTCGGGCCTCTGATTCCATCAACTCCAGCCTGGGGGTCCATCCACGCCCTGAGGAACAGCTGCAGGGACCTGCCGCTGGGGCCCCGTTCAGGCAGAGCAAGGGCAGGATCCCCTGCTCCCCAGTATGTCTTGCCTGCTGCCCTGGGGATGCTGCCTCCCAGCACCAGGCTGTTCTTCACCACTGCCATAAGCCCGAACAAGTAGCAATTTGGTCAAATCCAAGCCCATCTCCAAAAGTCGTCAGAGCCGATGTCACGGGAGGAACCAGAGTTGTGCATGGCTTCGTGACCAGGGATCGGATCTGGCATTGCCAGCTTAAGCAGCAGGCTCCAGACGCCCTACCAGAGCACCCCCCAGAGCCTGCATGAGGCCCCGCACCCAGGCGCCATCCAGTGGGGCTGGCAGCAAGGCCGTGCGCGCAGATCCGTGCGCCCACCACCAAGAAGGGAAACGCAAGCTGCGAAGGAAGCCTGGGGGTTGAGCCCATTTCTACACCCGCTAAAAGAAGAGCGAGGCACAGAAGCACCCAGAGGAGAGGGCACCAGATAGCGCCGGGTCCAACGTTTCCAGAGTGAGATGCTCCGACCCCCGCAGTGTCATCTCCAGGACGCCCGGCGCACCTCCAGGAGGCCCAGCAGCAGTTACCCGCTGCCTGCAGGGGGGTCCCCCGGGAGGGGCTCACCTGAGACCCAGGAACAGAGCCCCCAAATCCTCACTTCACCTGCGAGCGCCGCGGCCCTCTGAGCCCCTGATGGAGGGAAGGGGAAAAGGCACTGCCTCCTCCAGCTGGACCTAAAGTAGGGCCCTGCCCAGCTGAGGGATGGGGGCCCCGCCCCGGGGGAGGGAGGGGAAAAAGCCACTTCCTGGCACAAACCAGGCATGGGGGGCACAGATGGGGGTGCAGAGACCCCTGAAGCCTTGACCCCTGGGGGACAACAACCCCTGATCTGGGGGAGGGGGGCACGGGAAGGGAGGGCAAAGGCATCCAAGCCCTGGA